GTAGACCTGCAGGCGTCCGCAGGCCCTGGCGTCTCCTCTATCCTTTATTTCCTGTTTCATTTCCTTGATTCAGAAACAGTGTACCTTTTATTTTCAAACTTTGTATTTAGCACTCTTAGATCATCCGTGGTACTGTGACACCAGTTCTGGGTGATTAAGGCTTAAACAGTTGTAATAGATTCATATTTAAGATATTTTACTATATTTCTTCCGCTTAATGAAATTTCCACTTTTTTTTCACATTATTGCTTTATCAATGCTAAAAAGGTATAAAAATGGATAAAGGTAATATGTTCAATAATTGGCTTGCCTATCTCACATTAGTAGGCGTCATCACGACTCCCAAGAGTGGGAAATCCGGGTCGTGACAGCAGTGAAGACAAGCAAATGATCTAAGAGAAATAGAAACAAAATTTTTATTCAGTGTTATGCTTTGAGTACAATATGAATTAATTATGACTACTTAACTGAAATTTTACACTTAAAAGAAACATGAATGGCAGTTCCCCTTCAAAGGAAACTGCAGTAGTTATACATATACCGACTAAACATGTCATCGGCCTCCCAAATCGACAAAGATCCATCGCAATGGGAAGAAATCTCTACAAGTTATCGACGTCTGCCAAGGGCATTTTCCAATAGTTCCACAAGTTAAAATCTTCCTGCAACAATGAAAATACAATATAATTGAGTCAAAGCTCCAAGAAAACCACCCCCTTTGTAGAATTAAGAATGTCCACCCCCGGGAAGAAAAATAGTAAAGGAAAGAAAAAGACTATGCTTTAGTTCTAGAAATTCTTGAATAAGAAAGAAAATGTATATCTAAAGATAGGAAAACATGATGATATGAAAGTGCCGATGACGTTAGAATTACTTACAAACGAACGAAGAAGATATTAGAGTCTTGCTTACCTGCTCAACCATAGATGTAGGAGGGAACATGTCATTAACTAGAGTGTGCAATGAAGTATAGGATTTCACGTCAATTTGGTGGTTAATCGCTACCTCCCCCTGTAAGTCCAATTCAGCTTGTTAAGCAAGAGTGTAACTTGACAAATTGTACATTCCATTTTTACAATAAAGCAAAGGAAAGAGATTGAGAACCTTTGGGTTTATTATAAAGATTTTGCCTTTCGGAATTCCAATTTTTCTGTAACTGAGCTCATCGGTGTCCCTATTCCCAAAACCCGCATAAAAAGGGTTGTAATCTGCTGGGAAAAGTGCTTTGATGTCCTGAAATGTAGAAGAATATATTAGAAGGTGGCAAACTATTAGAGAGATACAAGAGGATTGAATCCACTGTCGTTTGGTTTGTGGGATGAGGAATAACAATCTTGGGATAGACTACGGGAATATTTTATTCCCCGTTTGGTTGAACTTTTGATTCTGGGATTAGCAATCCTGAGATAATTTACCACAAATATGGTATTATATTTATCCCACTCAATGTAGGATAACAAAATAACAAAAAATGCCGTTCTCCAAAGCTCTTTTTGCAAAGTTCTTTAAAAAATTCAAGGTTAAAATTGAAAATAAATGTTCATCCCAATTTAACTAGTGTAAAACCAAACACATGTTTTATATTATAACCCGTAATTCCATTTTCAGTCAAATGAACCAAACATATACCAATAAAAATATATCCACTAAATAATTTCATCATTGTCTGTGTATACACTACCCTCCCCAGACCCCACTTGTGGGATTATGTTGGGTATGTTGTTGTTCTTGTTGTGGTAATTTCATCAGAATCTAATCCACGTATTACAACCCCAACAACTATAATCCCCGTATAAATTGTTCACCAACCAAATGACCCCTTCAGGACTAGGCAAAAATAAGACTTAAGGTCCATTTGGTGCAATATTTGACTCTCTGGAAAAAACAAGACTAAATCACAATACAGCAATGGGACATATCTTAGAAATAGTTTCAACTGGACGTGTGAGACTATAATGTTGTCATTACCCTCCGACTATGTTAGAGAGCAAAATGTCGCTTCTAAAGTTCCAACCTGCTATCTATAAAAGGTTAGGAGAAGGTTGGATCTGTTCCATCTTTTTTTCTTGTTCTTCTTCTATCTTTTTCACTTTCTGGAGTATTTTCCCCTTGATTTTTCTGCTACAAATTTGTCAATTGGGAAGTGTATTTTCTTTTTTCCCTTTTTAAAAGGAGTATCAGTTCAGGATAACCTGCACACGCCTCTATCCTGAACACGCCTCGATTGATCCACTACAAACATGCTACCTCCCACCAGCACATATACCAAATAACTCTGTCGATCAAAGCTTAGCCAGATGGGAAGAATTACCTAATGTTGCTTATGCTGGAATTCGAACCTTGATTTTCAAGATTACCACTCCAACTCTTAGACCATCTGGTGACAAATTAGGGGCTTACATGCGGTATCTCTTGGATTTTTCTTCTATTTGTCCATTATTTCTCCAATTTCTTTTTGTTTAACTTTTTAGCTTAAAAAGGTTAAACTTTTGAAGCAACTTGTTAAAGTAGTGGACATTTGTTGTAGTTTACCAGACAAAAAAACTGAATGATAAAATATTATTATGGATTTTTGCGCTTTAAAGAAATAAAATTTGTGTAAATGTATTTGGTGCAAAATTATAATCAATATTGTACCAAATATAGAATCAGATTAGACTAAAATGCTGATAAGTTATCAGATATTTGATCTCGAAACCAAACATTGGTCAAGGATTTCAAGTCAGCCCTAAATCCCCTAATTAAAATCCCATCTAAAGAAAATAATATCCACTTTATCCATTCATTCGTACCAAGATACACGTGAAAGAACTGTCAGTCTTGGAGTACTTACCTCTAAGCAGGCAATCTTGAATTCATGAGGAGCTCTTCTTATAACTGCCACGACATAGAAGAGAAAAGGTAAATTTTGTCAGAGATCAAATTTATGCCAATTCCTTCTTAAAGGGGGGAAACAAATTGCACAGAATCATGCATGCAAAGTGCGACTCAAAATCTGAAGAAGATGACATGGCACCAACAATAGATCAATGGTCTTAATATGGAATCAAAAACCAGAGCTCAATGGGAAATTGGGAACGGAGGCATATAGAACTGACAGAAAAACCCTAGTACCAAGACAACATGTGTTGCTTCAACTACTCTTTTTATCATATCAGTAGGAAAAAGTCAGTCGACTTGCTATGGGCAAAGAGCTGAAGTTTCCGGATAATTCTCATTGAAACCAAACATCAAGAAACATGTGTAATTCGCATGCACAGATAATGCATTTCGACTCAGACTAAGGCAAAAGATGGACTTATGCTAAATATGTACTTACTTACCTTCTCTGTACAACGAGGGAAATAAACCATCAGGTGAAATAACAACAGGTCCAGGTGGTAAGGATTTCCCATCCTGCAGATTGTTACACGTTTCTGGTCAGTGAAATCTGTTACACAATCAGAATTCTACAAGAACGGACAAACAAACAGAGGCCAGATCCAAGAATTCTTTAGGTGGTGTATATAATCACAAATAGCGGTTAGACAAAATGCATCCTCCAAACCTCCTTTCCCCATAAAAGAAAGAAAAAAAAACACATGGAAGGTCTGAGAACAAAGCACAGGAGTCGGAGAATAAGAAATGAAAAGAACAGGTAATTAAAGCTAAATCTTCACCCCAACACCATGAGTGCCCAAAACATGTAAATACGGCAGTACTCTATTAGTCAGTTGGCTTTGAGCAAATTCTGTTCAGATTATTTGATTTTCTGCTTGTAGATTGGCAAACCAATCAACAGATCTATTTGTGCCTCTCTTCCTCAGCTAATTCATTTGTAGCAACATGTTTTACACCCAAGCAGGAAATAAAGCCAAAACTTTAAAACTCAGAACAACTTGCATAAGAAAACGCTAGATATAAAAAGCGAGAAAGGCAAGTTGAGAACAAGGCTGCTTATAGTTGTTCAATTTCCCAAAACTATAGAAATCCACAAGAGTGAAAGGCTCTACTTCACAAAAATATCTAACGGAGATGATTTCCTGTTGTCTCTTATCTTTTTCTTTTTATAAATATAGCAACCTTAAAAATCAAGCTATGCATCATAGGTCCCAAGCCTGATAACAAAGTTTGGATAGTTCACGGTCGATGAAAAAATAGTTTGGAATTGATGAGTAGTTGATTGGATTTTGATTGATATAGCAACCATCAATTAAATGAAAATAATCGTCATTTTGAAGTTTCTAGCATAACCATGGATATAAGCTTATGGCATGTCCCACCTAACCAAATTTGGAAACAGCTTCTTGAAGCCGTTCTGAGGTAGTATATTTGCTAGGACCGGATACAAAAAAAAAAAAGGTTTATATGGTTCACAAGGCCATTGGTGTTTGAATCTCAGACTACCAAGGTCTAAAGACATTTCTAGATATGTTCATTTGATCTCATTATATTCTCGCCTTGAAGTGTGGAGAAGAGGCGAGAGAGACAGAGGTGGAGTGAGGAAAGTGGAGACAACAACTGAACCCCTAGTAAACTATGGATACCTACCCTCACCCCCTAATTTCAGTTTTCAGTTTTCTCATTTAAAAAAAAAAATTCTACTCGTTGGAAACCTCACTGGAAAACAATGTTTCCCTGCACCGAGAATCAAAACAAACCGAACCGGAAAACCAAAAAATTTGTATCACACAAACCAGAATTTTTGGTTTGGTCAGTTTTCTTGGTTTAAACCAAATAATGCACAGCCCTACATGTAACAGAGTGCCTTCGGGAACATCTTATAAAATAGTAACGATATAGAGAAGATCAGCATGGCCTGTGCGCAAGGATGACATCGAGAAATGGTCCTACATGTAACAGAATCCAGCCAAAATGCTCCCTAAAATCTTCTGTATGTTTTAGAAAACTAAAAATTAGTGTCCTCGGTATTTCATGTATATGGGACTATGTTTACCTGTTTGAGATTGAACAGAAAACTTTTGGTCAGATAAGCTTGAACAATTGCCCGTGCGCTGAGAAAGAGTAGCTGATACCCATTTTCCTGCAATTACAAGACAGCACATCCATTATAAAATATTGAAGAAATATAGTTCAACATCAATGAAAATGGAAGTGAGAGTTCATAAATATTTGGCCAGCTTCGTGTTAGTCAATCATAGTACTTCGTAGTTCAAAAATAGCAAACAAAGAACAAGGAACACGCAGGGAATGGAGATATAACAAGTCATACTGTATACATATTACTCTTCAACCCAACTTTTGTACATTGTATAATGTCCGGCATGTTGAATCAAATACTCCGCCATGAGGTATGTAACTTTGCCAGGTCTCACCTAAGCAAGTATCTTATATAGGAGTCTTGTCATCCTGTATGAATGGGTCTGCGGATTAGCCCGCGACACTTTGTCTAAAGTTATGGCAACTAGAATACAGGGCTCTTCTATCTAAATCTTAAAATTCTTCCATGCTCATTTATGAACACCTTGGTTTTCCCCAGTTTTCCTAAGGATAAACCCTATATGATATCATCAAAGTTTTTCCTCTCTTTTGAAGATATATACGTTAAATAGATTTCCTGCTCATCTCTGGCAGATATGTTTATCATATCACATTAAATGTCATAGGCATAGCTCCCCCGCAAACATCTTTCTCGTGCTGAAGCATCAAATCCAGAATTGCCACACTATTTGAATTGGAGGAAAGTATTGGTTGTACTTTGTCTTAAGGAATTTTATCAAAATACAAAAGAATTGATGTGATGACTTGAAGACGAAGAAACATTAAAATATAGGACAGAGAAAAGGAATACCTTGATTGCAGAGAAAAGTCTAGCGATTCCGGAGTGGGTCCAGTCCTTTCCAACCAAAGGCATGAACTGACCAAGAACATCAGACCTAGACATAAATATGAACTTTTTAAGTACGTTATAAAACATGTGCTCGTCCACTCTACAAACGATAGTTACATAGTACGCTACCAGAATGAGATAATGTTCCAACAAACGGTCCTATTCTCACAATTCCAACTTATAATATTATTTTATGCTCTCAAATCAGGTTTCTTTATAATGCTTTAAAATTTATTAAACGAGGGGGCAAAACACGCCCATATACAAGAAGTACACTATAAAGTAGAAAACCTTACAAAAAGATATTGTTTTCTCACATCAGCTTAAAGATGAGAAATTTGGACATCTGATCCTATAGAAGGCTAACAAAATTTTGCAGCTTGAGGTTTAGTGATCCAAAAAGCTTACTTGGTAATAGTCCCATCAACATCAGAAATTACAATCCGAGTATTCCACTTCCACAAATATATATGGGCTTCAACCTGTTTTAAAAAGTTCGTTCAGCATTGCGATACGAACCAAAACAATAAAAAGACTACTATTTTTTTAAGTAAACATATTTGGCACAAGCAACACAACAAACCTTTTGCTCCCCTAGGACTCGAGTGGAAAAAATGAAAGTCACCAAATTCTGCCCCTCCTTCAGTTTTAAAGAGTCGATTTGATCAGAAGAAGGGACATTTGTTCTCACAAGTTGCTTGCGAGGAGATTCCTTAGCTCCTCGTGGTGCTGCTGTTTGTTCTGTAGGCTGGTTCAGTGAGCTTGATTCAGAATCAACAAACACCTCTTCATTTGATGCATTGCTACTTGTGTGTTCAATTGTCTTAACTCTTCTAAATGGAATTGGCCAAAGCCTCCATCGTCGTCCAGAAGGAGTTGAAGGCAACCCACTATCATCCTCTCCTGTTTTTAGGTTCTTCTCCTGCTCCACGGGTATGAAATCAGTAGATTCAACTGGTAGTTCCGTATTATACGCAGCCATCCCGAGAACGATTGGAGCAGCTTTGTCCCACTGTAAATAGTTTCCTTGAATTCGGACAACTAAATTTGGATTAGTAATTATTGAATTTGCAGAACTTCTGAATTCCTCCTCAGAAATGCGATTTGCATCAAAGGCTTCTCTAGCAGCAATGGAACCCATTCCAGCATGAAGAAAGTTCCTACAAAGAGATATCTCTACTCCTGCAGATATCACTAACAAAATGCGTGAACATAGTGAGAAGTAGAGCTAAATCGAACAACTAAATGAGACACTATAATTTTAATCAAAAACAAGAGGCATGCCGGCTTGTGCTTGAATCAGTTTCTGTACCTTTAAGCAAAGCTGCAGTCTGATCCTCCAAATTGTCACATTCAGTGCATTCACCTGATCCTTGCTCGCCATTTTGTGTCTCCTCTACTGCTAGAGTTACATCAGTCTGTTCCTTTGTGTCTGAAGCATTATGATCCAAGTCCAAGTCACTTTTCTGAAGGGTTACAACTTCAGGCTGTAAATCTCGTGATAGAGAACTGCAGGGAAGGTCGGAATCAGGAGTTAACCCATTTTCAGCTTCACTAATTGCAGGAGGACTCATGTGAGACTTCACTTCTACACCTTCAACGACTCCCTGAATCTCCGACTGAGAAACGGTATCTGACCGATTAACCTCATCCTCCGCCTGCATGGCTAATGCTGATAGCTCTAAACAGCTCTTGAATACGTCGTCCTTCTTAATGCTGCATGATGTGCTCTCCACAGTGCTATTCATGCAAAGATCTGATTCTCGGTGCTTCAGGTTATTTTCTGGAGTTTGATCAAGGTGCTTCCCATCAACTTCAGAGACTTCTACCTTGTGCTCGACTGTCGTGCTCTCGTTTTTCAGGTCGCAAGTATCTGCCGAGGCAACTTTAGATGTGTTCAGATCGCTGAAATAATCGTCAGCCCATGTGCCATCGCCTGAATTGAACTCTGAGCTATCATCACAAAATTCAGTACCCTGACCAGGACCCAGATGAAACTGGGGTGTGTCTAATTCGACATCTTCCGTATTCCTTTCAGACGACGAGATGGGTGCTGTCAGTATATGACCATCAACGCTTACTAGAACAACTTCAGAACCCGAATCCTGTGATTCTAAAACATGCTCCATATTTTCTAAATTATCATATCTACTGGATCCGTATTCTGATAAATCATCAAGAGAAGGCTGCTCATCCGGAAACTCGTAATATCTTCGGTCAGCATCCGAATCTGTCCTATTTAATCGATCCATACCCAATGTCACACGTTCGTCTCGTAATGGCAAATCAGCTGCAGCATTATACTCATCCTCCTCATTTTTAGACAGCACATCGTCTTTTCTACTTTCTTTATCGTTAACATTACCAAGATTACTACCATCCCCTTCACCTTTCAGGCTATCGGACTCCTTGAAGCCACCATTTTCCTCATTCTCATTGTCTCCGGTGACCTCTTTGATAAAATAAGCTTCACCGGAGTTATCAAGATACATGTGAAAATTGGCTTCTTTGCCATTAACTTCTATTCTAACTACCTTTTCTGCCCCCTTAAGAACACCCTGAAACTTACCAAATCGAACGTACCAAGGCGTGCTCCTAAAAGTCCCATCATGCTGTTTCACCACAATTATATCAACTGCTCCACCAAAAGGGTGAAATGGGGTGGCAACTGAGTATACACCCTGTGTTATAAAGCTACTAACTTTACCTACAACATTCATCTGTTCAACTACCAATAGACTTATATTCCCCCAAAAATACAGAATAATCAACAATTTAACCAAAACCTAAATGTTATACTACAATCTAAGAAACTGTCAAAACCAAACAGCTTCAGAATGATCCAATTGAATTGATCCCACAGATTACCAATCAAGAATACCTGCATGCAACAGATAAAAAAGGAAAAAAAATGTGAACATGCAGAGTATTGCAAATGACAAATTCAAGATCATATAAGAAGAATTTTAAAACCATAAAGAACAAAACTTTACATCAAGCATCTTGANCCCCTCCAAATTAGCAGAATAAATCATATACTTACAGATAGAAAAAAGGTGTATTCTTGAAAATCTTGGAAGCTCCAACGATCGATGGATCAAAATGAAAGTTAATCTCAGAGCTGAAGAGGGTTGAGACAAAAAATAAATTAGAAAATAATATCAAGAATTTTCTCCATTCAATTTATTTGTCTATATTATGTTATATATACAAAAAAGAATACCAGGAATATTATGAGGGTATCTTCTTTTTTTCTTTGATTTTCCTCTCTCTAGAAAGTAGGTGACTTCTGTTGATTTTTCTAATATAAAATATTTGTTAAATACAGCAAAAATAAATTCTGGAACAAAAGGGGATAATGAAGAATTAAATGAATTTTGGATAACAGACACAGCCAGAGTCAATAAATTCCTTCCAACTTGCCCAAAATATTACTGTCACCTCTCAAATCTTTCCTAAATGCACAATGTGAATAAATAGGTATTGTCCTTTCAACTGAAGACTACTGTTATTCCATAATTACCCTTGGAATTTATTGTAAGATTGGGTTGGTGAGGAGGGTATTTTTGGAAATTCAGTAACTGTTCGGTTCCATGGTGAAACGAGGTAAAGACAATTATTGGACTCTGTTGCAGTTCGAATGTAAGTTGGGGCGTTGGGCCTTCATTTTTTTTCGTTTGTATTAATAAATATTTTTAAATTATTTATTTTTTATAAAGTTAATAGTACTACTTATGTTTTCTGGTTCTCAAGAAAGGGTTTCTAGGTTGAATAAGGAAAAAAGAAAATAAAGGACTTCTAGAACAAGATCCTAACTTCCTAAGAAGTATCGCCTTCTCATTTTTTTAATATATCTTATGAGAAGCCATCTCTTGGCCAATGCAAATTGGTTTTACAATTTAGACAATTTATTTAAATTAATTGCTCTTATTTTATGAGTATGAGGGTCGTCCAAAATAGCCTATTTGCCTTCCAAGGTAAGATTAAGGATGCATACACATTACTCTCCCAAATCCTACTTATGGAATTATATTGAATTTTTTTTATTGTTGTTGTAATTACTCTTATTTTATGTGATATATTTTTTATAGTTTATGTTAAAATATTATTTATTTAATTATTTGAAAAATATTTATTATTATTCTTATTCAAGTTTTACCTATAATAGCTTAAAAAATCAAATTTTCATCGGAACAGAGTGTATGAAAATACATGAATGAAATTGTCACCCACTCTTAATGTAATAATAAATAAAATTTTGATACTTTACATATATTTAGTTCATGTGTCAAAAATCTTTTTTTATTTTTGAAAATATCATGTCCAATCAAACATCGTCACATAAAAAGGAATAAAAAATATAACTCTATCAAAGTGATACGGGGTTATAATTTATAAAAGCAATTTTCATGCTCACTTACTGAAAAGATGCCATAGGCGAGAAAAAAAAAAGGACATATCGGGAGTGTTATAAAAATGGAAAAGAAAGAGGCGAAGTTAGTGGTTATAGCGGCTAAGATTATGGTATTTGGACGTCTGTATGAGGAACACGGCCGCAAAGGCAAGGGCAAGAAGTTGTACCTGTTGTCCAAGGTGAGGGAGAGGAAGGCCCATGACTTGCACCAAGTCAAGTGAATCAAAGACGAAGATGGCAAAGTATTGATGGATGAGGCACATATCCCGGTAAACAAATTAAGGTAGTGGCGGTGGAAGGGGCAATGCATTAGATGAGTAGGGACAGAGCAAAATCCCGGTAGAATTTTGGAAGAACGCAGCCCGAGGAGGTTTGGAGTGGCTCACTGAGTTGTTTAATGTTATTTTTAGGATGAAGAAGATGCCCAAATAATGGAGGTGGAGTATAATAGTTCCATTATATAAGAACAAGGGTGATATCTAAAATTACAATAACTATAATGGTATAAAGTTGTTGAGTCATACTATGAAGGTTTAGGAGAAGGTGGTGAAAGTCAGGGTCAGGAGGAGCGTGTCTATTTTCAAGAACTAATTCGAATTCATGTTGGGATATTCGACTATAGAAGCGATTCATCTGGTGAGGAGACTAGTGGAGCAGTATAGGGAAAGGAAGAAGGACTTGCATATGGTGTTCATAGACCTTGAAAAACGTACAATAAAGTTTAGAGGTTAGTGGCGTTTTGGTGGCGTACATTAGGGTGATTAAGGATATGTATGATGGTGCTAACACTTGGGTGAGGACTATGAGAGGTGACTCAGAGCACTTTCTTGTTGTGATAGGGATGCACCAGGGATTGGCTCTTAGCCTGTTTTTATTTGCCTCGGCGATGGATGCATTCTATTTGCCGATGATATTGCATGATCAACGAGAGTGAGGCGGGATTAACGCAAGGTTGGAGGTTTGGAAACAAACCTTGAAGTCTAAAGATTTCAAGCGGAGCAGGACCAAAATAAAATATTTGAAGTGCAAATTCAGTGACGGGACTCATGAAACAGACGTTGGATGTGAAGCTTGATACTCAAGTTATCCCCAAGAGAGGTAGCTTCAAGTATCTCGGGTCTATAGTCTAAGGTAACTGGAAAATTGACGTGGATGCCGCATATCATATTGGAGCGAGATGGATGAAATAGAGACTCAGATCCGGTATTTTATGTGATAAAAATGTGTCGTCAAGACTTAAGGGTAAATTTTACATAGTAGTTATTCAACCAATTATGTTGTAATAGGGATTGGTGTTGGTCAGTCAACAACTCCTATGTGCAAAAGATGAAAGTAACAGAAATAGGGATATTGAGATGCATGTGCGGGTGTACCAGGAGAGATAAGATTAGGAATGAAGCTATTCAGGACAAAGTGGGAGTGGCCTCCGTGGAGGATAAGATGCAGAAGGCAAGACTGAGATGGTTCATGCATGTTAAGAGGAGAAACGTTGATGCTCCCGTTAGGAGGTATGAGAGGTTGGCCATGGCGGGTTTGAGAAGAGGTCTAGGAAGACCAAAGAAGTACTGGGGAGGGGTGAGTCGGGACATGGCGCTATTTCGGTTTATTGGGGACATGACCCTTAATAGAAAGGTGTGCAAGTCGAGGATTAGGGTAGAAGGTTAGTATGTAGTTGAAAGTTCTCATTTTCTTACCAGTAGTTTTAGTAGCATTCATGTTCCTTCATATTCTTAGAACTTTATTATGTTATGTGGTGTAGTTTGCCTCTGATATTGTATTCCTTGTTGTTACTAATTGGCAATACTACTTATTCTTTTTCTTTCTCTCTTCCTTTTCTTTCCTTTTCTTCTACTCCTCCTCCCCCTCCTTCTTCTTCTTTTCACCCTTTTTGAGACGGGGGTCTATTGGAAACATCATCTCTATCTTCATTAGGTAGAGGTAAGATCTGCGTATACACTACCCTCTCCAGATCCCATATATAAGAATATACTGAATTTGTTATTGTTGTTACTGAACCTTAATCAAAGTTAATAGAGTTAAGTAACATGATAATCTTCGAAATACAAATTATTCAAACCTATATTCTGCTACTAAGCAGCACATTCACGCACTGATTAAAATAACAAATAGTCTTAAAATATTACCACTTGTTTTTTACAAAAGAGAAAACCCCTCAAAACTACTGTCTGTCTCTTTCACCATAAGCAATCAAGTTTGTATGTTTGTTTTCACGCAAAGCTCATGGAGTTAGCTATAGAAAGTTCATTTTGTTAACTTATTACTTTAAAGTTACCCCACGTTTCTAGTCACTGTGTTCTTAGAAATGACTGTTTCATAATTAAATATGGTTTAGGAATTTTGCATGAAAATAATTTTGATAGGGTTCATATTCTTAACTATTTTCTTCCTTAATTTCTTAAATGTTATCATCAATTTTCGTTCTCTGGGACAAGATGTGGGGATAAGTTGAATTAAATTGTTTTAGTGTTCTATGTTCTATTCGAGGTAACATAGATTCATCGAGGGATTTTATTTTATCATGAATTCATTAATTCTCAATAATTTATTATTTTTTCTTCCGCACTTTATTCTTACATGGAATAGGGTGGGAAAATATTAATAAAAATGATACTCAATATATTAATTTTTTATATAATTGTGATGTTCGAATCAGCTTACACGTAATACATATCTCGACTATTTTCTATCTTTTTTGTACTAATATGGTGTTTTCTTCATAAAAAGTCGAAATAGTATTTTTGGATTAGATCTCGTAAACAAGAAAGTCAGAAAATGTTCAAAAATGTGCAATGACAAGAAAGATTTATGGGATGTCTATGAAAATTAAGACAACTTGATTTTGGGGAGGTGATGTGTTTCAAGAAAATAACTATCCAGCTCATGTATAGTTGGGAGAGCACAAGTTCAACGTTATTTATTAGTCACCGTCTGTGTGTAATGTTTTAATCATGCATAAAAACAATACTTTTTGTTTGATTAAAACGGCTCATAGATACTCTTCACATAATATGATATTGTGCGTTTTAAGCTAAATTCGCACGGTTTCCCCCAAAAGGCCTCATGCTATTAAGAGTATCCAACTCCTTATAAGTATTTTATTTTGTTGTTCTACTTTTCATATGGGACTTTGTTCACACAACCAATAATCTCGCTCTTGAGTTCCAAAATAGTTTTAAAAATTAATTCAAATTAGCTATAATGGATAACAATGGTGGCAATAGCTACCTAAATAGCTACAAATTCATTGCTACAAGTAAAATTTTGTAGCTAATCATAAGTTTTTGTCATACACCAATAGTTATTGTAGCAATAGTAACCTTTTAGCCACAATAAATTATTTAAAATAAAATATTATAGCTAAATGAATATTTTTGCTTCAAGTTCTAAAAAGTTGTGGCAGTAGTTAGATGATATAGTCATAGATTTATTGCTATAATTAAATTTCGTAGCTAATCATTAGTTTTTTGCCAGGAGTTGAAACTTACTATAGCTATAGTAACCTTTTAGCCACAATAAAATATTTAAAATAAAATATTATAGCTAAATGAATATTTTTGCTTCAAGTTATATAAAATTGTGGCAATATAGGTTAAATCAGCCACAGATTTCTTGCTATAATAAAATTTCGTAGATCATTAATTTTTGTCATGAGTTGATACTTAATATAACAATAATAATCTTTTAGTCGCAATAAATTATTTAAAACAAAAATGATGCTAAATAAATGATTTTTCTTCAAGTTCTAAAAAGCCATGTCAGTAATTGGATTAATATCTACAATTATTTGTCATGATAAAATGATATAACTACGGATTTATTTGTATGATAAAATTTTATTAGTTTTTGCCATAAGGTAGATTTGCCGCAACAATGACAATCTTCTAGCCACATTTTATTTTATTGCAACTTGTTATTTTGGACATTAATTATGTNTTTACTATCTTGATAAGTTTTCAATTATCATAAACTAAATATACATTGAATATAAGAATT